ACTTCTGAACAGAGGCTGATGATGAAAAGAAAATGCAATTGAATCTCTGAGCTAATACAAAGTATGAGCCATTTCATTTTGAAAGAGTAAGATGCAACATGAGCTCTTAAACACAGGCCCAGAGGTCTATATCCTATTAAAATAGAATAGGGACAACATTTAATCTGAGCTTTGAGCCAAACATCATGGTACCACTTTCTAATGCATAACCCTTAAGAATAGTGAATATAATATTGGAATGGGAGCTTGGAGTCGTTGGCTCTTTCAACCAAAATCCCAACCTATTCAGAAAGTTGAAAAAAATGTGAATGTTGTTCTGAAACCCAGGCAAGGATCTGCTACAAATGACCAAGCCATTTAGACAGTAAAAAGTAAAATGTGGAATGGGAGCTCTGAGGCCTAGGCCCAGTTTTCTCTCTCCAACATAAAACACTTTTTAATATAGAAAATAAATTTCTTTGGGAAGGCTGAGACCCAGGCCCAGGCCAAGTATCTTATCCTCAATAAAAAAAAACAACAAATAAGGATAGACAATATAATAAATCCCTGACTAGTCTTCATGGTTGATAAGAAATTGCAATGAAATTTCTAAAGCCCAGGAACCAGGAAGTACCCATGACCCAGACATTTAGTGTCTAAACATTAAAAATTTGAACAGGTGCCAAGACCTAAGATAATGTCGCCCAACCTAAAATCCTTAGAATAGTACCAAGAAATTTTGTTGGCTTCTCTGAAGCCCAGGCCCATGGTTTTGTTCTCAAGCTTCTCTCATTTAGCTACGAAAGATTAAAGTCTAGGATTTGTGTTCAAAGACTCTGGTCCATAGTCCACTTACAATGAACAAAGCCTAAAGACAGGGACAATAATGTTGAAATGAAAGACCTAATACCCATGCAAAAGTCCAGTAGCATGAGCCGGCCATTTGGAATCAAAAGAATAAAATTTGTAATAGGAGGAAAAAAAAATTGTGAATGCAACTTTGAAACCCAGGCAAGGATCTGCTAACAATGATCCAGCCATTTAGACTGTACAGAATAAAATGCGGAATGGAAACTCCGAAGCCTAGGTCCAGAGTCCTAACGCCAACATAAAACACCTTAGAATATAGAAAATAAAGTTCTTTGGAAGGGCTAAGACCCATGCCCATGTCCAGGCGAATGGGCTTGTACCCAATACTCTGCAATTTTGCCTCGACAGAATGACATCTGGGACATGATTCTGAGGCCGAGGCCAAAGGCACAGGAACTAAAACCAACAATTAAGGACAGAGAATACAATAAATCCTTGACTATTCTCCATGGTTGATAAGAAATTGCAATGAAATTACTAAAGCCCAGAAAAAAAAACAAGTACCCATGACCCAGACATTTAGTGTCTAAAGATTAAAAATTTGGACAGGAGCCAAGGCCTAACATAATGCCCCGCCCCCCACCTAAAATCCTTAGAATACTTCCATTTGGTTTACCACTAAAACATGTTTCTTTGCACTGTGGCTATCAAATAATTAAGTAATGATGTCCATTACAAAAGTCTTAATTCTATGTTCTGGTTTGATAGTAGTGGAACGGTTTCAAGTAACCAAAAGCCTAGGCTACATGGTTTGTATTATTGTTCAGGAGCTATAAAGAAATATTTTGGGGCATCAAGTGAAAATTATTCAGATACAGCTTATTTTAAACAGCCAAATGTTTCTTCAATCATGCTGGTTAACAGCTAAGTACGCTGATAGGATAACATTATCTCTATACAGTATCTCAATATTGTAATATGCAACTGGTGCTTTCAATAATAGTTGGTTATGCATTACAGTTGTGTTAATGGATCTGCATTCTGGCCTGTATTTTGAAGATAACACATTTGGCTAATCTGAAATCCATACTGTTAATTTTTTCCATTGAACACGTACATAGCTAGTACATTCTCAGGCACTTGTACTAATTTCTGAAAACCTGAGCAGATATCAGAAAATATATAAGCAGAATAAAAATAGCAATTTAAAGAAACACAAGCATTAATTATTCCAATCAATGTTAATCTCATTTGTTAATGGGGACATCAACAGAGCAGGAGCAAGTCTTAGGGACTTCACGTCCTGCCTTTTTGCTATGCATGGTGGTGCAGTGGGTAGCACGAGGGCCTGGGTTTGATTCCATGGTCATCACAGGGTCCTTTCTGTGTGGAGTTTGCATGTTCTCCCCGTCGGCTGGTTTCCTCTGGGTGCTCTAGTTTACTCCCACAGTCAGGCCAGCTGGAAATATTAAGTTGCCCTTGGTGTGACTGTGTATATCTGTGTATCTGCCCTGTGATGGACTGTTGACCTGTCCAGGGTGTTTCCTGCCTTCTGCCCAATGCAAGCTGGTATTGGCTCCAACACCTCCTGAGACCCAGGAGATCATCAGTGAGTGAGAGTAAAGTGATGTTTTTTTGTTTCATTTGAGTTTTACGCTAATTTCTTCCCATGACAACGTACCTAGCTGGCACATTTTCAGTTATATGCATCTAAAAAAAAATATTCATGTCTTTCATTTAATGAAACATAAACCTCTATTATTTAAATTAATGTTAACAGGCATCTCAACAATAATCTATGAAGGCTTTTTATTGAAACCTTTTTAAACTGTCAAGATTTTTGCTTGAGCTTTTAATACTATTATGTTACAGTCTTGCAAGAACATCTTGTTATTGTCAATGTATGATTAAAATACAGCATGCAGAACAAAGGGCAGAATAGCCCCTTAAAAGAAGGGACATTTAAAGGCTACAAACACAAGCCTTCTGAATCTCATGTTTAGGAATCTCAGCTGAGCCCTAAAACTTCTACCTTTCATCCAAGACAAACAGCTGCAGGAACTCTACCCCATCTCTGGTTTGCACTTTTAATTGCATGTACCCTGCCTGTGACTTTTGCTTCTGCAGAGTGGAGTTTCTCTAAACTGAAGCTCATCAAAACCTCTCAGGTCCACAATGGGGCAGGAACGTTTGAGTGGACTGGCAGTCATAAGTGTGAATTGGTGAATGGGGATACTGACAGAAAAATATGAAAATATTATGGCCTCTAAAAAAAAAATCAAGGAAGCGGACATCTTGAAGTCCTGGATGCATGTAGCACATAAACGTTGTAATATGTTTGTTTTTTTATCTATCTATCCATCCATCCATCCATCCATCCATCTCCTAAGCCGCTTATCCTTCTGGGTCGTGGAGGGTGCTGAAGCTATCCCAGCGTTCATTGGGCAAAAGGCAGTAAATACCCAGGACAGGTCGGCAGTCCATCGCAGGGCCTGATTGATTATTTATTTATTTAGCTAGTTTTCATTCTGTTCTCTTGTAGAGTTATTATTGTTTGATTGTGTCTTACATGTATTAAAGTTTATTCTTTATCAGACTTACTGAAGTATTATTTATTTATTTATTATGCATCAGCTTGTTATTTTAGCATAACTTTAAAATATAATTGGGGTGGATGTTGGAGGGGGAGCCGACTGTCCGCGGCTTCTAGCAGTCTCAGATAGCACTGACCATTTAAGTCATGGTTTTTTATTGGTAATACATCAGTGTCCACTTCAAATAATGCACAATTAAAGCAGACCGCTAAACTACTTAAAATGTTTGTTTGTTATACTGTACTTTGACTATGGACACACATTTAGTGCATAGTTGCAGAGTGAATTAGCATGAACAAATGAAATTTATTTGTGGGTCCTTAGAGCTTTGCTAGTGCACTGCCATTTTGCTTGATAGTGCTCTAAAAGTAGCCTGAGTGTTGATTTTGACCCTAAGTGCTAGTTACATTAGCGCCTGAAAACATCAGGGAAGGAGTGGCAGCCATTTGCCATGACTTTGGGAAAAAGGTGCTCAGTGTTATTCACCATAGGATATAGTGTCCTTTATGTAGCTTCAGCTGCAATTGCTGTAATGAGCACTACTGGCATACTGTGGTTCATGAGATGCTTACCCTGCTTACCCATATTTTTTTTTAGAGGTTCTTGTTCTACATTGAATCCTGCCTATGAGAAATGGCTGATGAAGACCTTTGACACAGTTGACCAACTCATGGTGTGAAGATGTGCTTTGTTTAACCACAGTGGGCATGATGGAGAACTAGAAAAATCTTGCACAGGCAACGAAGTGCAAAAATGTTATCTACTGTGTATCCTAACTATTGCTTTAATAACTATACATTTTACCAATATTTAGTGTCTAGGTTTCCTCGTAAACAGTGGAACATTACACATAAAATGTGACAGGATGATCTGACATAATTTGAAAATGCCTGTTACCCTTTACATTGTGTGTAAATTTCATGATGAATGAACCAAAACAAACAGCCCAAATTTACTTGGACAAAAGTCTGGTTCCATTCACTTACATTAAAAGTAAAGTAGATGTATATGTACAGCGATGTATATATCTGTCTTATTTTTTCAGTGTTTTATGTCAGATGGCAGATTGCTTTTGATATCATGTACACCTATCAGGCATAACGTTATGACCACCTCCTTGTTTCTATGCTAACTGTCCATTTTATCAGCTCCACTTACTATATAGGTGCACTTTGTAGTTCTACAATTACAGACTGTAGTCCTTCTGTTTCTCTGCACACTTTGTTAGCCCCCTTTTACCCTGTTCTTCAGTGGTCAGGACCCTCATGGACCCTCACAGAGCAGGTACTATTTGGGTGGTGTAGGCTCAATTATACCTTCAATCTGAAGTAGTATAAACAATGATTGTATATAAATGTTCTAATGAAGTGTTATGATTTCACTAGCAGGCAAAAATTATAACTGGATGTGTTGGATGAATTCTACTGGAGGTTTTTAGTTCATTTGGTTTGGAAATATAAATACAGTGACAGCATTGTCACTCTCATGGCCCCTCAACCTCTTCACAGTTTGAAACCTAATAATCAGACAAGGCTGATTTCCCTGCAAAAATGAACACATTTTAAATATTACTACATATGTTAATACAGAACATTACTCAGAACATTCACTTAAGACATTTTACTTAGTTTTTTCCATATCTACAGAAATGCAAAAACAGTACAGCAGTACACATGAACACATGGGTGTATTATCTGTCCTATTACATTGATTTTGGATAACACTTTCTTTTCTAGTCCCTTAGGTTCTAGGTATTAACCAAGTAAGTGTGAGATATAAACTCCAAAGTACCAAGTAATTATTTCGGGTAGCATGATGGTCAGCTCCAAGGTAGTCTCACTAATTACAATGATATACCCAACAAGTTGTATGTATTAACTGGTTAAATGTGTGGTACTTCACCGTATTATTTTGGATAAAAAGTACTAGATATGATGGATAAAGACGGTACATAAAGTTATATGACACAAAGATGGTACATAAAGCACAAAGAGTTGAGATCAATGATTCTTACTATGGTTTTACTGGACCTTTACCATTTCCTTCGGAAAAATCTCTTTGTATTTCGTGCTATCATTTTATGTCATAACTACACGATACTTGGAAGTGTTTATGATTTACTGTCCTTTTAAATTCATGACATTACTGTGAAATTAAGTGCAAGTAAGTTTGTACTTACTACCTTGTTACTCAAAATATTTATAAAGTATTTTACTATATCCTTTAAGGGTTTAATAGCTAGAATCTGTTAGTCATTTTGGTGTAATTTATCAAGACTGTCTTGGTACTTCAAGACAGCCAGGAGAACAGGGTGTAGAAATTATGTCTTTATTGAAGAGCACTCTGTTAGCCTGTCCCAAAACCCATTCTAACCAGCAGCTCTGTCATGCATGACTAAATATTGTGCATTGTTATTGATTACATCATGCTTATAATTGCTTAGTAACTCTTAGGTTTTATCAAGTTGCCTCAGTCTCTAATCATTTGTTTAGGAATGCACAAAGGCTTAGCAATCACATGTCAAGGATATAATCAATCACATGTCAAGGATATAATTTCATGTCTTGGAAGTTACCATCATGTTACCCAAAATAATTATCTAGTACTTTGGAGTTTGCATCTCACACTTACCTAGTTACTACCTAGGAACTTGGAGAACTGTAAAAAAAAGCATTACCTAATTTTGTTTGTGGCAATTATATAATACACTGACAGAAAAACAGAGGCAATAAATGCTGAATAAAGAATATACTAGTAAACAATAAATCAGTATGATTGGATCTGCAAACATACATAGATTGTTGGGGTCAAATCAAGTGTGATTCCCAGCAATAACAGGGGCAGACAATGGCATTAGTACAAAAAACAAAACAGAGAATTGTTTGTTTTTATCTTCATGTGGATAAACACTCTCACGATATAGATGAAAACTCCTTCAACAGAACATCCTGACTCAGAGTGTTCAGAGACACATTCCTCCTCACATTCAGGCTGATTGAGCGCACCTGCAAGGGGAGAAAGAGAATGATAACTGATGAAAAAGAAGAAGGAGGCAGTGTTTCTGGACGCAAATATGACTGCATGAAGTACAAGACATGTTTCTGACTGTTAACTACTTTAACAAATTTGACGAGGACTGCTGTGAGATTTCTACATAGATGACTGTTTAGCAAATGGTATTATTTATGATCACACGTTTTAAATAATTATTGAAATAGCAGTTAAAATCTTCATTAAAATAAAATTTAACAGATGTTTGTGTTGTCCTATAGATTTTTAATGAAAATTAATTGCTTGGATTAACCCTCCAGCTGGCATATTCAACCAGAAAAAAAATAAAAAATTATACTGATGACCTAAACTGTTATATTGCAGCTGTCCAATCACCTATTTTAAATCTGAAAGCTACCTTGTGAAGATGAAAATCTAAGTTACATTTTCATTTAACTGGTTAAAGGTTTTGCCATGGAAATTTATTAAAAAAAATATATATAATATATATCAATATAATTTTATAAATATATATATATACAAAATATAATTTTTTATGACTGGTTCAAACCCCAGTGGAACGGACAGATGTTTTAGTCAAATACTGAATCACATATGTCCATCTAAAAACTATGAAACTAGATTTTATCATCAGTTTTTATCATTTTTAGTTCTGTTCAAACTTCTTAGCTAAATGTGTAACAGTTTTAAATGCAAACATTAGTGAGATAACAAATATTGTATGAAATCCTCTCATGTTTCAAGTGCTGCAGGCTATAACTTAGTGAAGTATTTAGGGATGAATTTGGGAGTATGAAAAACATTCAATAAAAACAAATCAAATTGGACACCAAGCCAGATACCAAACCCAAATTTCTGGAAGCCCATCTAGTTCTCTATGCTCTTAGGCCTAAAGTAGAAGCTCATTCAGAATCCTTGGTCCAAAGCGGGGTTCTAGAGCCAGTCAGCTTGAATAACTGCGTCACACCTATTGTACCCATAATGAACAAAATGGGTCCATCAGGATTCGCGGGGATTTTAAAGTGACACTTAACCCTATGTTGGAAGTGGACAGGATTAACCCTCCAGCTGGCATATTCAACCAAAAAAAAAATATATATACTGATGACCTAAACCATTATATTGCAGCTGTCCAATCACCTGTTTTAAATCTGAAAGCTACCTTGGAAGTGGACAGGACCCTTTGCCCCACGTTGTTGACTTGTTAACTGAGCTAGCTAGAGGACAAAAATTCAGCAAAACTAACCTTAGCCAAGTCATCTCCAAATAAACACAGACAAAAGCTCTTGGGAGCTGTTCACCGCAGTCGCACACAAAGGCCTATATCATTACTGTCGTTTGCAATATGGGGTGATGTCTGCCCGATCTCTTTTTCAAAGACCAATGGATTAGATATTGAATGCTCTATTGGGAGTCCAAAGATGGAAGAGGAGCACTTGAGAAGTTCTCAGAGTTCGTAAACCCAATTGCGAGTTTTCCCAGTTGTCACTTGGGGCATGTGGTGACTCACAAAGCTCCCTCTAAAGTGTAGGCAATAGTGGAGGTGTCAGCACCTCAGAAGAGTAGGCAATCCTGAGACCCTTTCAGTGTTCAGCTCAGTGATTAAAAGGTGTAAGAAGACCCTATTAGGTAAGTCCTGAAAGGGACATTCAAAAAGTGAATGTGTGTTGCATTACCCACATTTTATGGTTTGTGGTCAGACTCTATGGTGTCAAGAGCCTTTAGCTTTGAAGGTGTAGGGTTTTTACAAACAAACCAGTCTTTTAAAATGAACCCAGGTTGCTGTCTTCACTGTCTACACTATATAGACCAAAGTATTGGGACACCTACACATTACACCCACAAGAGCTTTTATGACATCCCATTCTAAATCTATAGGCATTAACATGGAGTTGGTCTGCCCTTTGCAGCTATAACAACCTCTCTTGGGAAGGCTTTCTACAAGATTTCGGAGTGTGCCTGTGGGAATTTCTGCCCATTCATCCAGCAGAGCATTTGTGAGGTCAGACACTGATGTTGGATGAGAGGCCCAAGCTTGCAATCTCTGTTTTAGTTCATTCCATCAATCAGGGATCTGTATTAAGTATTAAGATTTCCCTTCACTGGAACTAAGGGGCCTATGCCAAACCCTGAAAAAACAACCCCTATCCCTCTTCCACCAAACTTTACAGCTGGCACAATGCAGTCAGGCAGGTAATGTTCTCCTGGCATTCATCGAACCCAGAATCATCCATCAGACTGCTGATAGAGAAGCATGATCCGTCACTCCACAGAATACATTTCCAATGCTCCAGAGTTCAGTGGAGGCATGCTTTACGCCCCCCCCCCATTTTGTGAAGCTCCTGATGCACAGTTCTTTTGCTGATTTTGCTTTTAGAGGCAAATAAGAACTTGTTAGTGAGTGATTCAACAGAGGACAGGCACTGTGTGCTCCAGCACTCGCCGGCCCCACCTCTGTGAGTCTGAGTAGTCTACCTCTTCATGGCTAAGCTGTTCTTGCTCCTAGGAGCTTCCATTTCACAAAAACAGCACTTACAGGGGCAGATCTAGTGGAGCAGAAATTTCACAAGCTGACTTATGGCAGAGGTGGCATCCTATGAAAGTCACTGAGCTCATCAGTACAAACAATTCTATTGCCAGTCCATCGAGACTACAAGGCTATGTGCTTAATTTTAACCACCTGTTAGCAATGGGTGTGGCTAAAACACCTGAACTCAATATTTAGGAGATGTGTCCCAATACTTTGGCCTATATAGTGTAACAGGCTAAACAACAATAAAATTCAGAGTTAGAATTTATGTTGAAATATTTACACAAGGATTGTCAAAAGTCCAACAAAGAAAATAAAAATGCTACGTGAATCTCTGTGAATGCTTCCTGCATCTATGTTTAAGCTACGGCTGCCACGAACAGTATTTAACCCAATGCTGAGATGAGTGAATATACAGCACCATTAGCTTGGTGCTAACAGCAAGCAGCAATTAGCTAGTAGCAATCAAGATTATATTAGTGATGATATTTGGATAAGAGCTACTAGGAAAGTAAAGTGTTAGGAAAAGTTATAGGTTGGGGGGAGGGGGGGCATCAACCACCTCACTTGTGTCTTTATATACGGTGGGCTCAGCCAGAAGTGAAAGAGCACCAGTGGAAAACAGAGCTTTGAATGCAGAGTGTTGGACTCCTCCTGGGCTCCCATACGTTTTGCATGTATTCGGATTCTTGTTGGAGCGCCCATTCCATGAGCTTTTAAAACCTGACTGCTATTGTGACCACAACTTCAGCTGGTCAACCATGGGCTCACAGCATGAGCTGGCTAAACCCCTTTGAAAACTTGGAATGCAGGTGTGTTGGCCTTTCGGGGGTCCAACTAGATTTAGGCCCATGTCTCACATTAAACTGCACAATGTAGGGGCAGTGTGTCTCTGTTACAATCAGGACTAAAATAAACAGGTTAGACCCTAGACAAACTGGTGTTTGTTTGTTTCAGTGGCCTCTGGGCTTGTAACAAAAATGTCCAGAACTATGCAGTATATGACCAAAAATTTCAAGAAATGTTCATGGCCAGGGCTGCATGAGAAACTGTGACACGAGTTTCCATGATGTACATATTGAGTGCATTTACATGCACTCAGTAATTCGATCATAATTGGACTTCTGCAGTTATCCAATTATTCAAATGGTCACGTAGACACCATACTCCAATCTAGAAACCTGATTAAGAAATCCAATTATGAAATCAGATAAAGAGAGCTGGATTTTAGCTTAGTAATCAGATTTCTCAATGCATGTGTACTTGTACTCTGATTTCTATCTGATTTCTCAGTCTGTGCATGTGCGAGAATGAGGCAGTACCAGAAATAAGAAAGCGAAGCAGTGCTGATGCAAGATGGCAGCAACACTTTTGGAGGCGCTGAAACCGAACACGAAATAAGGGACTTAAATATTCTTCATCTTGTAGATGATGCATGTTCATATTTTTTGAAGCGATGTTTTAAAACGTGGCATGAAGCTTTACATTATGTTTACATCACTTCTTCTGGGAGTTTACTGGCTGGTTGCAAAGCTGAAATCTGATTACTGTCTCACTCATGCAGACCCACATTTTCCCATTACCTGATTACTCATGAGCATGTAAACGTGTTGATCGGATCACTGACAAAATCTGATTCTGATTATTAAGTGCATGTAAACGCACTCATTGTTAACAGCTGCCATGACAGAATGGATCACATGAGCTCACACATGTAGTGACATAATTAGACTGGCAGGAACATAGCATGCTGCCTGTTGGTTTTGGTGAAACATATAATAAACAATGTAATACAATAAACAATATAATTTGGTGAAACATATAATAAACATATAATAAACTCCCAAACTGTCTTATTTTTTCAGTGATTTATGTCAGATGGCAGATTGCTTTTGATATCATGTACACCGATCAGGCATAATATTATGACCTTGTTTCTATGTTCATTGTCCATTTTGTCAGCTCCACTTACTATATAGGTGCACTTTGTAGTTCTACAATTATAGACTGTAGTCCAGCTGTTTCCCTGCCTACTTTGTTAGCCCCCTTTTACCCTGTTCTTCAGTGGTCAGGACCCCCATGGACCCTCACAGAGCATGTTTAAGTGTGTGGGGCAGGGTTAAGCTGATATGAAAAGGTGTTAGACTTAAGAGGAACATTGTGTCGGATGCCCAACAAGTTTTTTCTTGTGCTGTGCCATAGTGTTCAAAGCCCAAAACATGCATCCCTGCTTTGGGCTTGAACCCTGCTCACTCACACTGAGAGTAAGCAACTTGTAAAAGTATGATTTGATCAAATGGCTAGTTTCAAAGCAGAGCATGCTGAACTACTAGCTTGTAAAAATGCTTAAACTGTAATGACTATTCTCACTCTCAGTGTTGTGCATAAAATGCATAGACTGATAAAATTTAAGAAGTAGTAATGGTTACTGTCAGAACAAATCATAAGGAGCGTTTTAGGGAATTAAATATAGACTTATTTGGCATATACTAAAAATAAAAATATTTATTCACATTTGACACCCTGCTGCGAACAAAAAAAAGTCTGTTTTAGAGATAAGCACCTTATGGAGTAAGAATGAAAGAATGGTACTTCCGTAATTTCAGAAGTTTTTTGGCTGCTTAAGGAGTAACTTCATAGAAAAAAAAATCCAGTCAAAGGCACTAGTCACTTCTATCATTGTGATTTCCAACAGCTTTATCAAACCGCACATTATGTCCATGTTGTACAGCCCTATGATAAACACTGAGAGCATCATCATGCGTACAAGTTTTTTTTTTATTTTACATTGTTTTATTCTTTATGATGTTCAACAGCCCAGTGAATTTGGTTCCCTAAAATAAGGACTGTGTGAGAAAGTGCCAGAAAATTTACTTTTTTTTAATACTATGGCAATTTACATTATTATTGTAGTCTTTCACACACATACACCCTAACCTGAAAAAAAAATCTATGAGAACACCGGATCTGCATTCTATGAATTACACCATTAAATGCAAGTGAACAGTTTGAACACCAAAGGTCACAATAATATTAATTAAAAAAAACGCTCCCAGCTTGAGGCCTTTTGACTCCCTAATCTCATTCGTAGGTTGTGCGACCATATGGATACAATAAATTTATTCATTCAATTTTTTTTCCAAAATATGAGAATACTGAATTGTGAACCTAGTATCAAGTATCAAATGATTTTGTGAGTTCACTGTATCATTACACTTCTTTTTGCGTTGCCAGGCGCCCTTACCAGTTCCTTGAAGAAGGCTGTCTCTTTGGGCTGCTCTGAATATCGTTCGAACTGGTCCAAACCATCTTGTAGTTTCAAGGTTAGTGTGTCGTAGTTGGAGCGCACCACTTCTAGAACCTACAGACATCATGTAGGAGAGACTGTTATTGATCTTAATTAGTGGGTATCCAATTGTAAAGCATGCTGCCAGTTGGCTTTGGTGAAACATATAATAAATAGTCCCAAACTGTCTTATTTTTTCAGTGATTCATGTCAGATGGCAGAGTTCCTTTATTGCTTTTGATATATATACAAGCTGATCTGAGCACACTGAAAGAGGTGCGGGCCAATCATCCTTTTAAGATTAGGGCTTGATATGAGGGATGCTTTAAAATATCAACAATGGAACTGGTGAGGGGAGTCAGAGTTGGGGTAGTTTGAGTGTTTCAAAGTCAGTGTTTCTGAATAGAGGGCAAGGCATGCAATGTTATGGAGAAGAAAAAAACAATTTACATACGATCCACTTCATCAGGCATGTCACTTCAGGCAAGATGATCTTCCTACACATTTTTATATACTATCAACATAATCAGTATAATCTACAAACTTGCTTGTTAGCTAGCTGTGTATGTTGACAATACAGTCAAGTTGGCAGCCATAAACTTAATATTTTGTTCAACTGGTAGGTATTAAAAAAGTTAACAATGAACAGTACAGGTCTGGAATAAGTAGCAGGTGCATTGCCTAAACTCACTGTTACACTGTCACAAATGGCACAAATGTTTCACTCCAATACAAACAGCTACAGTATGGTTTTACAAAATAAAGTCTACTGTCCTTAGTATAGGCACCAACAGTCACTTACACATCTCACAACAGAATGTATGTTGTTCTGACATAATGCTTAACAGATGAACAGCTGCAGGGCAAATACTCAGTATAAAGTCCTGCATGCAGGCCTTTTGGTCAGGCTGGGTTGTTGCAGATGGACAGCAAGCTCTTTGAATAACGCCAACTTGCCTATCCTGAACTTTCCTTCTTGGCACAAAAAAGACATACAATAAAAAGCATAGTTGGCTATGCTCGCAGGACAGGAGATTTCACAATGAACTTTCGTTAACCAATCAAAACTTACAAACTCAATCAACGAAACCTGAAAAGTTAACAACAACTTTTTCAGGTTACTGCGTGAGCGAACAACTAAATGAAAACAAAACTAAATGAAGACAACAAACTGAGACACGAAAGTAAAATTTAAATCTGTAGATTTAAAATGCAAAGTATGAGCTTTTAACTTGGACTTTCTTTTTTCCCCCTAACATCTCTATGTCTGTATGTCCTGGTATATAAAACAGACCTAATGAATACAATTTGTTTCTCTACGTATCTCTTTGTTGTCTGCTCAAATTCACCACAAAGTGACTTTATATATAAACTATGTTTTTGGAGTAAAATAAATGCTGAGTATGCAGCTTCATATGCATTATACACTATATTGTACATTACGTACATTATTAATATTTCTAGTGGATATTTATGACCACGATTATGTTGGAAGTATTACAGAGAATAGATACAGTCCTACTCCTAAAAAAGGAGCAGCATGATTACTAGGGCAAATTTTTGTTAAGGAAACAATGCAAGTGTTATACAACTGCCTAACGTTACAAAATACCTAGAACAATGACTACATAGTAAAGAAATTAGCATGGTACAAAAGATCAACTTAATGACAGTTCCAATTACTTGTAATGAAATACAGTTTTAAGGATAAAAACAAAAAAGAAAAACAAAAGAAAGAAGGAAAATAGCACTTGGCAGGTAGTATGGGCATTTAAGTGAACATTAGTCAACTTTTAACAAATCTGAAGGGGAACGTAAATTCAATAAGTCATAAGAGATCCATCTTTCAGCAATAACTGAACCTAATAGTTAGAGTAAGTTTACTTAGTCTGGAAGAGACTCCAGATCTTAATCTCGTTAAGACAGCATGTTTTCAGGCATCCTGGCTTCTGATTCCTCCTAGCATCCGAATTCAAAAGGTTGGCTTCACCCCGACAGTTTGGTTGAGTTTATAAATAAAAATATACAGATCCACTACAGTTGTATTTTACAGGAATCAGAATAGAGTCAAGAGCAACGTTTTATGGTTCTGAGCAAATGTGTAAAGAAAAGGGACACTGAGGTTGTGTTCAGGTGTTTCAAAAGTGGCACTCTTTTGTAAAAAGTGACAGAAGAATGACAGCACAATGCACTCAATGCTCTGAAGTTGAATTGCTCAAGAAAGACAGAAATGAGTTGCTGAACCATGTTAAAATAAAGGAAAAGCAACCGAACCCCTCCCATGAAGAGAAACTGTCTTCCTTTTCAAAATGTTCTTCCACTGACAGTGAAGGCAGTTAGTCAGAGACAAATGGGGAAGTTAGAGTAACAAGTATGCATGAGCATTTGAGCACAGAGCAAATAGATAGCCTGGAGGAAGAATTCAAATGTTGCCATCAGAGTAAGCCAGGGAAGCTTTGCTAAAACATTTTTTTGCATGGGGCTTATTCTGATTGTGCAGCCACCGAGCATGTGAGGAACAGTAAGGTTGTTGTTTAAAGAGCTGATGGTGCGACTTCACAATCCGAAGTGTCCCAAAGTCTATCAGCATGTGGAAAGAATTCAAATGTGCACATACCTGTTGCACTACAAAATGTGTCTGTAGTGGCAAATCTCTTTAAAGTCAAGTAAAACAGTACAGTCACAGAATTGCAATTAAATCACCAAAGTAATATGCTTATTAAAGAATCACAGCCAGGGAGAAGCTCAGAGTAAAAATAACCTCACTGAGACCAAATTTACATGATGTTAGATTGCTGGACTGTGTTAACATATGCATAATAAATGAGAAGGAAGGAAACCCAAATATGGCCAATAACTGTAGTGCACTCAGGATGAGCTAGTCTGTAGCTTCAAGGCCATTGTACAAAGATTCATTGTTGTTCTTCTCAACTAGCTAGGCTACAGTTAAGAGGAAAAAGATAAAACATAGGGCCAGCCACTCTAAATTAAGAAGAATAATAATTATACGTCCCAGGAAACAGGAAGTCAGCAAACCAGGGAACACATGATAATGCATGCCGCTTTTGCAATGAAATCAATCAACCTTTATTTAAACTCTGAGTACATTGAGGGAGACCCTCATTTACAATGTAGCCGAGCCAATAGAGAGAAAGTGATTGAGAAGTTAAATGGCAAAAACATAACATATGCTAAAAAGTAATCACAGTAGTGACAAATCAATCAATAATATAAATCAATGAATCATTACAAAAACAAAATCACATAAAATTACAACAATATAGTAAATAACAAAATAAAGATACAAAAAAATATATAATTAAGAAAATAAAGAAATGGGTCCTTAGGAAAGTAAAAAGAAAAAGTAAAAAAGAGGCAAAAAGTAAAGTGAATTCAGCTAAACCTCAGTCAAAGTTAATGGGTGGTGGCAACTTCCCCAAGGTGGCAGGTCAACTGTTAAAGCTTATCCAGAAAGCAACTCTTTTAAGTTTTAAGACATTCCCACAGAGCTGGGTCAACTACACTAGCAATAGGTGCTGTGACAGTGAATTTATAGCCAATTACTTGAGTAGGCTGTTTGTAAAAACTAGCGTGAATCACAGAAATGACTTCAGGTTAAGAAGTTTATTCTTTCATTAGTTACTGTTCTTATTGCTGTATGTTTGTGCATTTTCGGGACAGCCAAGGCAGTGCGTGAGGGAGGAAATCATGTTGCTAAAATGGATGGAACAACGGGGAGCTGCTTGTTTCTTAAAAGGCCTATTCAACCAGATGAGATCTGATCTCAAGAAACACAGCTGGCGTGACGTACATTTGAGTACAATTACACTGGAAAATCCATCCTTATCACCAAGACATAAGAGACTAAAATGCCATATAGGCAGTTAAGTTGCGTCTTAGCATGGCAAAGGGGCATATGTAGTAGGTGCTGATTTTGACTTTGTGCCTACATGCTCCAAACATTACAGGACTAAATGTGGTCATAAAGGTCTCTGAACACCTGGTCGTAGCCCATCTAAAGGCTGTTACAAACCCTTTGCTAGATCCCCTGCAGTTCATGTACAAAGCAAACAGGTCTGTTGATAATGCAGTCAACTTGGCACATCTTATTGCTCATATAACTTGTGTTTATAAAAACTTACAACAATATTTGATACTCTTCTATAAAAATACATGCTTTACCCCCTTTTTACCCTGATCTGCTGCATGTGGTTAGTCTCGTGGGACTAGACATGTTCTTGTCACGTGAATATATGTCTGGCTACACACTAAAATTCTGGTAGTGGATTTTGACTAAATCCACTGCCAATGAGACTATTCTCCTAGGATTTTCCTAGAAATCTCCCCTAAATTGCTCTAGTCCATGCACTTTAAATCAATAACGCAAAACCTTTAACCAAAACAAAATCTTGCTAGCTTGTGAAACAGTGAGTGCATTTACATGCACTCAATAATCCGATCATAATTTCTGATTTCTGCAGTTATCTGATTACTCAAATGGTCATGTACACACCATACTCTGATCTAGAAATCCAATTAAGAAATCCAATAAAGAGAGCTGGATTTTAGCTTTGTAATCAGATTTCTCAGTGCATGTACACTCGTACTTGGATTTCTATCAGATTTCTCAGTCTGCGCATGCGCAAGAATGAGGCAGTACCGGAAATAAGCAAGCAGTGCTGCTGCAAGATGGCAGCAAAACACTTTTGGAGCAGCGCTGAATCCAAACACGAAATAAAGGACTTAAATCTTCTTCTGTGAGTTTATTGGCTGGTTGCAAAGCTGAAATTCAATTACTGTCCGACTCATGTAGACCCGGAGTTTCCTATTATCTGATCCTCTGTTATCGGATTATTAAGTGCATGTAAACGCACTCAGTGTGTGCTGCCAATTCTTTCCACATTACATTTACTGCAGCTGTATTGTTACAACTGTGAGCAGCAGAGGTTATATATACTTTGCCACCTGTCCAGTGATGTTTAGAGGCTAAAGTGTGTTCCAGTTTTACTCTTTGGTTAAAAAACAGTTTTCTTTTGTAAGAGGCAGTATTTATTTTTAAAGCATGTACAAATCCA